GAGTCTGGCCGACAAATATGACTTATCGAGTTTGGCGTTTATCTACACGGGTGGCGCACACTTTCCCGAAGCATATGCCAGGGCTATAATTAAGAAATATAATGTTATATTCCAAGAAGGTATTAATCTATTTAAATTATATATTACTGAATAATTTAATTGTATTAAAATTTTTATTTAGTGTATGGAATGACTGAATACAGCGGAACACTAACTCATGTGCCAGACCTGGAGGTCTGCAGTGAGTATATTGCGGGCAATTTGGGCAGACCTGCGAAGAATACTCAAATTAAGATCAGAGATGTGACAACCGGTTCCAGTCTTGGCCCTGATATAGACGGAGAAATTTGTGTTCGCGGACCCAAACTCTTCTCTGGATATCTCAATAATCCTTTGGCCACAAGTGAAGCCATAGATAGCGAAGGATGGCTTCGCACCGGAGATATTGGTCATTACGATCACAAAAATAGGGTTTTCATAACCGATAGACTTAAAGAACTGATCAAATTTGGGACAAAACAAGTCTCTCCGACAGAGATTGAGCTCTTTTTAATGACACACAAATGTGTGGCAGCGGTAGCAGTGGTTGGCGTCAAACACGAGACACAGAGTCAATGGGTTAGGGCTTATGTCAAAGTGAAAGATGGGATGTCTGTCACCGAAGACGAGCTCAAACAATATGTCTCAGGTTTGTAATAAAATGATAATTTCTTTAAAATTTTTAAATTATAATTATTGTATTTGATTAACAGATAATTTGAATGATGCGAAACAATTAAGGGCTGGCGTTGTGTTTGTCGATCACATCCCGAGGACTACTGTCGGGAAAGTCGATCGAAGATATTTCAAACAATTGATTGCCAATGAATTGATCAAAAGTTATTAATAATTATTACATTTATTAATTTAATCTCAACAGAATTTTTCTCAAGAGAAGAATAATTTTTTCATTTATTTTTTAACAGAATATTTATTATTAAACTTGTTTTCTCTCAATAAATGATTTACTATTTTTAAAGCCATATCTAATCAATCGGTTTTATTTCAAATAAATAGTTTTGCATAAAGTGTTTGTTTCATGAATACAATCGACGGGTTGTCTAACAATTTGATGAATTTATATTTATCGCTGTCCAATGATTCGTTTAATTTGATTAATGAGATATTCTGTCACTTTAACTAAAATAATAATAAATTTGCTGCCAATAAAAAAGAAATTACATTTGTTGTCAATTATATTACTTTTATTCTTGTCTCCCAACCCGTAATATACCTCCTATTTTGTTAAATCATTATACAAGTATAAAGTAGAGTTAGTATTGTACTTGTAATGTAATGAATACCAAATATTAACTACTTTATAAGTTTTTAATCATAACAATAAATAAATCAAATATTTTTCATTTTTAAACCATATTCAATATGTTATTAAAAGACATCTTAACACTTGATAAAAGCAACAAATTTTAAAAAAAAATTGGCGTAAATTCTGTGAAATTCTTCAATACTTAACACATGTTAGTCTTGGTTACAACTTTTGTCAGCATTTCTTGAAACTTCAGACATATTTATAATTAGATATCTATTTATAAATCTATAAGACTTGTAGAACATTGTGAGTATGTTTACGGAAGTTGTGATGTCATGGCATTAAAATTTAATTGTTTAAACCAAAAATGTCTAATTAATCAGTGATTTATAATCACATTAATCAGAGATTAATCTCTTGATAATTTTTTATATTTATGCAGTGTTTTATGTTTTATTGAATATTGTATTACAGATATACTGTACAGTATAATATACAGTATACTTCTGTAATAGTATAAGTATTGTAATAATAGTGAACAATAATTATGTTATGCAAACATGATCTTTGGATATTTGCCTTCAATTCACAAAATACCAATCTATAGCAAATTGCTGTGAGTTTCGTCTCACTCTTTCCCACTCTCATAGTATTAAAGGGTTTATTATTTTGAAGGACTTTGTGTTTAAAATAAAACCGATTTTAAAATCAAACTATTTTTTAATTTCGTTTTTCTATCGCAAGCTTTCACTTAATTTTCTCTAAACATCTGTTAAGACATACAGTATAATTGATTTGTGATAAAAGAGTATAGATTGATATAAACAAATGTCAATTGTTAATACAGTTGTATTTTATCAGTTGTGTATATAAATACATGATTTGCTAAATATTTTTGCATAACTTTCTTCATTAGCTTCAAAGAACTTTACCGCAAACAAT